TTCCTCGGGACGAAACCGACCGCTAAGCGCCGGCCGGCGCCTCCCCGTTCCGTTGCACCTCGGGCGACCGGCGGCGCGGCGCGGCGGCGGCGTAGTTCAAATGGGTAGTATACGCGTCGTTAAACCTTTTTCCTTCAAGCTATCTATACTATAAGCTCCAAGACCTCCTAATTTTGCGAAACTGGTAACGCTTAGTTCCAGCGTTCTACCGGGCCGATTTTCATGTTTTTTTGCGGCTATCGACGGGCAATTGCCTCTAGATAAGCCAACTCTTTTCAGATTTTCAAAATATGGCCCAGGTTTTTTTATATTACGTGGTAAAGTTGCGAATTCTCCCATTTAAACAATGTAAATTTATACTTTTTGTCATAGTTCGTTTGAGCGTTCTACCGGGACGATTTCCATGATTTTTGCGTAAATCGACAGGTAATAGGCCCTAGATGAGCCCGCTGCAATCAGATTTTGGAAAAAGGACCCAGGTTTTTTTAAAATCACGTTATAAAAGTGAGTGAGTTTACAGAATGCTCCGGTACTGCTACCGCTATGCGCGGGAGGATGCGCAGTGGTCGAGGAGGTTGCGCAGAAGCTGTGTAGCCTGCGCATCAGCTCTACACTTATCTACACAAGATTCGCACTGGCTTCCTCACGTCGAGCGGTGGCCGAGTCGTCTGTAGACGTCGAATGCGACCACTTGGAAGTAGATGTGGGTTCGATCCCCGATTTATAAATTCTTAAATTTTACCTGACTATCATTGTTCAATGTTTTACTGCAATATTTCATCAGGCAGTCATTCCAAAACGCGTCCTTTTAATTTTAAAGTAATTTTAAGTAAAGTTTAAAATTAAAGTATACCTCATATCGTAATTTTTTAGGGGAAAAATAAAACTATCACTGATAGGAGGGTAAAAGTAGGGCCGCGAAGCGGCCCATTGATGGCGCGGAGCGCCTTCAGGGGGTTGGGCCGCGTAGCGGCCAGGGGGCGTAGCCCCCTAGTTTTAACATATGATACATGATATCTCCTCAATTTTTCACGACGAATCCGAATCCGAGCTTAGATTTTCGATATTACGCGTTTTAATCTATTTAAAATCGTAGGAAATTAGGTACAGAATTGTCCTTGCATGAATATTGATCACACATTAGTGTTTTTTTACGTCATTAAACCTCTTTCCTTCACGCTATTCTAACATATGATGCATAAAATCTCATCAATTTTTCACGAGGAATCCGAATCTGAGCTTAGATTTTGGATATTACGCGTTTTAATCTATTTAAAATCGTAGGAGAAATTACAGAATTGTCCTTGAATATTGATCACACATTAGTGTTTTTTTACGTCATTAAACCTCTTTCTTTCACGCTATTCTAAAATTTGATGGATGAAATCGCATCAGTTTTTCACGAGGAATCCGAATCTGAGCTTAGATTTTGGATTTTACGCGTTTTAATCTATTTAAAATCGTAGGAGAAATTACAGAATTGTCCTTGAGAATTGATCACACATTAGTGATATTTTATCCCGTTTTTCTTCTACGTTCACGTAATGAAATTAGATCAACAGTTGACTCATCGACTAGTCTAGCCTAATTAACCCCCCAGAATCGGTCTAAAGGGCGAACGATTTTATCAGATAAGATGTGCGGTCCTAGTTTCCGGGCAATTGCGGTTTGATGGAAGCTGCGATGAGGAGAAACGGAAGATATGCGAAACTCGGGCGGATATTAAGTGAGAAACCAGGTAGGGGAAAGGCTTTCTTCCCGAAAAGTTAGTGCTCGGGCCAACTTACATGGTCACTATAGCATTGTATAGCAGGTTGTGGGAAACTATTTTTTTGCAGCAACAACCAATATTGGATCGCATTTTGCAAAAAGGAACTAAGAGCATTTCAATGTTGCTGGGATTGTGCAACTTAGGTACATTATTTGCAAAAAAGTAAACTTTGCGACTGTAATAATTTTTCGTCTTGAATTCATAGTTCATTGGGAGTAGAGGTGAAACTAGTTTAGATGATCGTTTCTGTTTGCAAGGTTAGCGACATTGGAATGCTCTTGGGAGGGTACGGATTCAATCGAAAAATAAAAACGTTAACCGATTTACTCCGTTTCAATCGACAACCGTGAATCGATCGAAAAACTCGTGAATCGATCAATTTGTCGGTCGAATTGGTGTCGATCGGTTCAAGCCAAGAATTCATGTTGATCGAATCCATACCCTCCTTTTGAAGCCTTTAAAGTGAAGAGCCTGTTCACAAAATCATTAAGATTCATATAAACCGATTCTCAATTGGGTCGGGGCATTTTCATGACGAACGCAATCGCAAAAATTTTCCTTCCTATGGGTATGTAGTATTTGCCAATGATGCGACATGGCACCATGGTAGCGGATGCACTAATACTTTTTTCTTCTTTTTTTCTGTTGTTTAATGGCTTTGTGTCAAGCACTTCACTAACACTTAATCAGGCTTGGTCCCCCACTAATGGGGAATCTGGAGGGAATTTGACAGGCATTTCCCAGCCCAGAGGAAGCTCCGGGCGGAAAATTTGTCAAATTTTAAATCTAGTGGGACGCACTTCGAGGCTTCCGTGACGCAGATTTTCGATCAATTCCTGCGGAAAAATTTCGCTGTTCACTTACTTCAAGCACAGAATACTTTCAAATTGTTGCATTCAACAAATCCGGATATTAGTTTTATTTATTGCATATTATCTCGGTCGCGGTCATGTTTTAAAGGTCGCAATCTTGACTTCTTTTTGGCGCTATAAAAATGTTTGGCTGACCAATCAAAGCCATGCAGAAAACCATGATTTGGGCCACCGGCTCACTTTTAAACTGATACGGCCCAAATTTTCTGGTGTCTCATACATTTTTAGAGGCCTGGTCAAATTCATCAAAAAAAAAATTGATTTTTGCCTCCGGCCCACATAAGAACTGATAGGTCCAACATTTCTAGTGTCCTCGCACATTTTTGGTGGGCCAGTCAGAGTCACTCGAAGCATTATAATTAGGGCTGCCGCACAGTGGATCGAGTCAATAGGAGAGCTCGAACAAAATTTCGGAACTTTAAACGCCTATAACTCCGTTTGAATAAAACTTTGAGATATTAAAATTATTTGGTTTTATTGGTTTCCTCGTGAAATTTTCTTCCAGAGACACCCATTAAAATCTAAAATGTGACGAAATAAATATCAAAATTTGTAGTTTTACTCAAACATTTCATTTCCGACCTCTCTAATTGACTCGATCCACAGTGCGCCGGTAGCCGGCTCTCTTTTTTCATTTTCGCGACCAAAAGTTTTAATCGTCTCGAGAATCAGAATTGTCGAGGGGCCGATCTGAGTTGTTGCCAGCCCTCTCAGCATTTGTGCGGTCCACTCATTCTCAACGTGTCAACGTGTCCATTGGAGAACTTGTATAACTCAGGATTTAAAGATTCGCATTTTTGATTTTGGTCTTTGAAATGATACATTTACTTGCACGTCGAGGGCCAAAAGTAAAACCACGTACCTCCGTTTGCGAGACGATGCAGACTTCCCGTCATTTTGTTTTTTTTTACTTTCGAAAACTAATCAATGTTAGTTTCTTAAAACTACCTTAATTTTTTCTCTCTGTCAGTAGAATAGTCTGTATAAATTTCAAGCTGTGAAAATGGTCTGATTTTTTGGTCGGAAAAGTAAACTAAGCTCTACGAGGTTTTACACTATTGCCATCGACATACCGAGCAGCACTTAACTGCAGCACTGCACGGCTTATACTCGTGTATCCATACGCCATTCCCACAAAAAATGACTCGCTTTTGGAGGAGGAAAAACCTGGTCAAAATTAGGCGTTAAAGGGCGAGCCACGCATTGAAGTTATTTTTCTCATTATTTCGTATCTCTAATGGGTTTTAAAAAAACTCAACCCATTTGTTTTTTGGCGGAAAGTTAGAGTGTAGAGCGGAAAACTGTGCCAAATTTAGTCTCGAGCACGGAAAAGTAGTTATACCTCGTTGTTGAAAGTGAACGTTTTTATGTCAATAAATTGCCGTTTTGGAAAATACCCAACTCTAAAAAGAATAAAATGAAGGGGGAAAAACATAAAAACTTTTTTTTTCAAGCTGTATTACTATGATAAGAATATCTCTATCGATATCAGCATATCTTCAATGATGTGGGTAGAATTTCTGCTGATATACACTGGCTATTTACGAGTGAACATGTTAGGTTAAATTCAAATATATAAAATAGCAGAGGCAATAACATGATAACTCTAATGTTCGAGTAAGGCAAATATTTTGACTCTATAGACACATTTTCAAGTGTAAGCCACAAGTTATTTTACTTTTTAGTGATTGTAAAAATATTAAGGAAAAGTAATGTACAACTCACGCTCGGAGAAAAATAAGCTTGAACTCTTTATTTCAATGTAGGAATCACAGCCAAAGCAAAATTGTTTTTAAAAACATACAACGTAACCACTCATGTCAGTACATATCAGAACAGGGGTTCCTGCCACTTAACTACAAATATATGTAGATTCGAAGCCTAATTCATCTTTTTCCTTTTCTTTCACTATCTTTTTTTCCTTCTTTTAAACCTCTAATAGGGGGGAAAACCCTCTCTGCTGACTACATTCAAGTCAAAAGACCCCGCACTATTTATTTTAAATGAGCAAATCTCCTCTCCAAAAGACTGTTAAAACAAAATATAGGAGACTATTCAATTCATTTTTACGCAAACACGCCACCGCACAAATTATTACTATTTTTTTATCATTTTACTTATTTTGGAAAAGTAGACAAACCTATCACGAAATTTGTAGGTTTTTTATTGTTGCTGCATATTTTGTCGTTTATTTAGCGTTATACACGAATATCAATTATTTTTAAAATTTATCAGCTTTCGATAAGCACTGATTTTTTTACAATTTTAATTTTTACGCAAGATTTTACGTAAATTTCGCCTAAAGAAGAGTAAAAAGGATTTTACAGTTCATTTATTGATGACTAGAATAAAAAAAATCGTATCTCTACAGCAATGATTTAAAATTTACCATAGTATTTCAATTTTGTAGGAGGAAAACTATCCGAATAACTACTAACTTTTTTGCGAATATATTTCCCAGCGCGTGGAAAAAAATTATTTTTCAAAAATTAAAACATGAAGGGAAATTTTAATTGTCGCAGTTAGAGGAACGTACTTTTCGACCGCAGCAATCGGCATAACATAAGTTTATTTATTCATTTATTTAGGTATTTATTTTTACATTTATTCAAGCCCACCAACTGGCAATACCACTTTATGCCAACTTAAAGTTAAATAACTCGTCATACAGAACGTCGCTCTGTTATGGTTTGGGATGCCAACCGGTGACCGGCTGCCTACAAAACGGACAGATAAATGGCTTTGACGGGGTCTCTTCCGATTTCATCTTCCGGGTGCATGCCATGCATACTTCATGATTGCACGGCTCCAGTTGCATGTTTTTCTTATTTGTGCTGCAAATGCAACAAGCTGGTGGACAAAGAAAGAATTATCAAAAATTATACTCATCCTAGCCACAATAAAGATAACTCTACACCGCCTTGCCAAGAGAGAGCAGAAACTTATTTTTTTCCCCACAGTTTCAGCATACTGTCAGATTTCCTTGATGCCTCTTTTTGATCAAGCCGGCGACAGTGAGACAGTTGTCGACTCGCTTTGCATTGAGACGCCAAAGATGTTAATGTAGCGTGGAAAAACTACTAAGGAAAAACACCGTATGAACCTTTAGGCGTTGCCAAATTTCCTTTGATAGAACTTGAATTTCCTGTTAAGCTTATGAATATTTTCCTTCAAATTTTTCAGATGATTTTGCTCGCGATTCCACCGAAAAGTCCTGAAAATTCAAGGTAAAACATTCATAATTTTCTTCAAAAATGAACATTTTATCGAGGGAGATTTGGCAACTCTCGAATGTTCATACGGTGTTCTTTCTTAGCACGGCAGTATAAGTAACGTCTACAGAGACCTTGGGGACTTTAACGCAACGGCCAATAGTAAACTAATTTTTCCTGTAACTTTCAGGAGGATTTTTTTTGGGTCAATTAGGGTATCACGCACAATCAGTCACCTCTCTCATGGTCGAGTAGTGGTATCATTCCCCATATAGTCAAGGCGATCTCTGTCGATGAATTCGTTGTATTCACGATAACATTTAAAACAGACGAAAAGTAGACGAAGAAAAGAGAAATTCGTAGAGATAATTGGACGTATTTACGCTGAAAGGAACTATGTACATAGGATTTGCTTGAAACATAGTTCCTTTTAGCATAAATACGTCCAATTATTGTACTTCAAGAGTACAATTTTGGGAATAGATCCTTGCAAGCGATTGAAATGATTTGACAAAACAAAAATTAATGGAAATGTTCCAAATATTAAGATAGATTCTACCTCAAAGTTTGTCAAAATCGCGGAAATGTTCCCATCGTATATTTTATTTTTTTGCAGTGACAGATCATTTTATTTTCAGTCGCGTTCAAAGTTCTCTCTCCAAATTTATATGCTTGAATTTCACTCGAGGTCCGTAAAAATTGTCCTTTCCGCAATGCTATTTTAAGGACTTTCAAAAACCTCCCTTAATCACAATGCAAACCACACAGGCTCTCTTGAGGAAAGTAGCTTAAGAAACTACTAAAAATACGACTCTGAATGATCCGATAACCATACGCTCTCTATAAGAGCACTAACGAAAACTGTGGGCTTGGGCTCATTATTGAAATTGGTAGACAAAAAATACGAAGGTGCGGTAGAAGTCAGTGATTACAATGGACGAAGGAGGTAAGTAATGACTCAGAAATGGCAACCCACGAGAGACCCTATTGTTGATCCATCATTTTCCCTCTCACGTTATAAGTTCAAAACAACCACCGGTTTCAACCAATAGGATTGCTCCAGTTTCCGATTGTCCTCCTTATCTATAGCTTTGTCAATTAATTTAAATAATTAGCCATCTGGCCTAGTATGAATGAGCTTTACCGTCTGGATCTTCATCGTTGGTTATTGGTATGTCGGGTGGGTCATTATTCTGGGTCTGGGGCATGGTGCATACACCTCCTTCGCAAGATCTGTTTCCTCCCCGCGGACGCTGTGAGCAGGGTCTGAAAAGCGTCTCAAAAGGTACCACTTCCAACCCCGGAGGCAGCTCATTGAGCATCCCTGTTCAAACAGTCAAGTACATCATCGAGTTTGCTTAAAAATATTTAAGCGTTATATTTTTGTAGAAGAGGATGCACATAGTTCACAGGAATATTTCCAGATATTTTTGGTCGACTTTAAGCCAAGAAAAACGACACTAACAATAAGTTGAGTGTTTTGAGCACCCATTTGGACCGCGTTTAACAGAGAGGAACCAAGCCACATCAGCTATTGCCAAAAACTGGGCAGTTTAATTTTTTACGAGGGAATGTTTGTGCGGATTCCTTTGAAAATTTTGAGAAATTTGCTTTGCACTATGGAGAAAATTCACTGAAATTTGCACAAACATCCGCAAAACCGTTTTCATAAGTACAAATAAATTGCCCGGTTAAATTTGGCAACAGCTGATGTGGCTTGGTTCCTCTCTGTTCAACGCGGTCCATTTCAATGTGCGTCTTCGTGAAAACTAAGATGGCGTCTGAAAATATCCAACTCGTCTTGACCACGGTCCCGATCACGGGTTTCCTCTGCGGCGATCATTGGTCTGTGCACCCGTAATATCGATCATGGCTGCATTGACTGTAAACAGAGACAAGAGACCCTCCACTGGCCTCCTAGCGACAGGTGGAAGCTTTTACTTTCGGGGTTTCAACAATTCCTTATGGACAATTATGAGCGAGCAACAGTCATCACCCTATTTTCGGCTGTTGACTTACCTACATGGTCGATGATGAGCTTCGGATGACGTCATAAGCCAAACAACTTTTCCAAACGTCGGCCATTTTCGGCTTGTTTGCAAAACGAAACTGCCAACACGTTGTTGAACATCAACCATGTAGGTAAGTCAACAGTAGAATGCTGAAGTCCCGAAAGTAAAAGCTTCCACCATGGCCAAGTTACTAGTGGAGGGTCTCTTGTCTCTGACTGTAAATCGCGGCAAAGTTTATAGGTTAGGCGCTACGATCGAGATCGTAGCCGAGAACGAGCAAATGAGCGAAGTCGGACATGAAATTTGCAACTGAAACTGGCAAATTTCAATGACTGATTCGTCTGACGGACCAGTAGATGAGGTGCAATGAGGGATATTTAATGACGTAAAAGTTAACAGAAAGCAGGAAAATCTCCAGTATCCCTCGAGGATTGCAGGCTCATGTTGTACACTGGTCCGATATTGATGTGTCCATCCCACCGCGGGTGGTGGATCTGACACCGCACTGGAAAAAAAACACATTGGATCTAGAGTCCAGATTCTTGAAAACATTGACAAGAAAAAGTACTCTTGATTCAATCAAATTTTTGCTTAAATCAAAAGGAAATCCGGTCAAATTAAGAAACTTGGTTCTTGATTTAAGCAAAACTCCGATTGAATCAAGAGTATTTTTTCTTGTCGATGTTTTTAAAAGTCTGGACTCTAGATACAATGTGTTTTTTTTCCAGTGCGAGATATTACAACGATTAAAGCGCGCGATATGCTGTGATGCGCGTAACGAGTGAAATATTCCTACAGTCTCGTAGTTGCTAATATGTGCTCGACGCGGACTGACCGACTGCACTGCGTTTGGCGCAATGCAAGAAGTATTCATGCTGCCTTGTAGGCACTGATGCGTCTCGCGCCAACCGCAACATTTGGCGCAACGCGAGAAGTATCCTTACGGTCTTGCAGGCGTTGAAAATATGTGTTTAACGTCGGCCGCACTGTGTTTGGCGTGATTATTCGAACTCGCGCTAGAATAATCGTGGCATCAAATAATGGGGCTTAAAAGGTCCATGTTGCGTTTTGACGCCGTGTGAGCATTCCAACGTTGCCTCGTTTCTCCCGATAAAAATGTTTTTTTTTTTTTTTTTTTTTCCGAGAAAAGTTAAGAAGGTTCTTAATGTTCACTCTTTTAGATTGAATGGACCATTAAACAAGGTACTCCGATACATGATTCTACTCCAGAATTTTGCGTAGAGCACGATTCGTGCAACGAAAACTACTGAAATCAACTCCTGGTAAAGATATTAACGTTTTTAATGTACACTGGTTACGGGAATTTTGAATTGCCCGGCTACAAGAAAAATAATACCCTGTGCGAGTCAAATCGCGCACTACAACGGCTTTAGCAGACTATTCAATCGAGCATTGTTTCTCTCCCACCATATGTTGTTCAAAGTGTGTGCAGCTTGCTATAGCTAAGCCAAAGCGTCAAGATTAAGGTTGCCATATTTCCATATTTCTGAGACTGTCATAGTGACGTAATTTAACCCAAGTAAATTATTCTTTCCTCTATGAGCGGAAAGTTTGGATTTATTCATAAAAACGTTATTATCACAGTTAGGAGTTAATCTGGAGTTAGGGTTCGATCGCTCGACGTCTAGCTAGTCGATTTCTATGACGTCGAACGCACCGGGCAGCTCAAATAAAAATCGCCCGGGAAAGACGAAAAACTGCGCTTCTCCCCGCAGGATGAACGGGATAACCGATCTTTCAAAGGGCGCGTGGGGTCGCGGGGCCCGCCACGCGATCCCTCTATTTTTTTCGGGAATCGGGGGACCGGGACAGTCAAGCCGGTACCATCGGTGCCCTGATCAGCCAGGTGGTCCCCGCTGAATTTTGACCCGAAGAACCGGGCTTACTAGATAATGCATTGTGATTCTATGAGTTCCAAAATTAAAGAATTATTAAAAGCTGGAAAGTTTATAACGAGCTCTGAAAATCTCTTTTATTGTTATCTGCTTTTGAGTATTGATCATGCTGGATTCTGGAGACTGCAGATCATATCCAGCGACAAGCCGGACATCCGCGGGAGAGCCGCGGCGCGGCGTGTTGCCAGCGCGAGACGCGCTCTGACGCCTACAAACCTAAGGGGCTACTTCACACATTGCGCAATGCTTGAAGTATCCCCTTAGGTTTGTAGGCGTCAGTGCACGTTTCGAGCTGGCAGCACGCGCGCCGCGCCACGCGCCGCACATTGGTTCCAGAGCCCGATTTAGGCGGCATTAATTCGAAAAATTGACCTTTAATAAAAATGAAAAATGGCACCACTGGTCGATACTACATACTCTGGAGAGTATCTCGGCCAAATATCATGATGATTGGATGAGTGATAAAAAAATGAAAAGCTTCCAAAGGTAAGCGCGCAGGTCCTCTTTCTGCAGTTCATACCAGTTTCCTCAGTTATTACAGTGAAGTGATGTTTATATGTGATGTTTGTCGCCATTTTCGGCAGAAAAGCAGTTTTTAAAAAAGAATCCTAAAATTGAAGGTAAGTTTAAGGTTTACCATGTTGAAATCATATCTTTAGATTAAGCCTACAGCTTTAGATAAACCCTTAGACATAACGCTATTTTACGTGATTTTCACGTATTTTTCCACATAAATGGCTGAATTTAACTACTTTGTCACCCTCCGACACCTTTTAAACGGCCATTTCTAGTTACTACTAATCCTAGGTATGATGTAGATACAAATATCTTTTGCCAGTTTTTGCCGGTTTTTTAAATACAGCGTTTTAAAGGTCGCCCGCTCGGTTCTCGTGAGAACTGGATATATCACATTACGGGTTGGTGATACCGTTCTACCTTTCTTGCAATGTTATAAAACTATTTTTTTCTTTCATATTCACTTAGAGAGGAGTCTATTCACTTGGTTTTTCAAAACGATCATGGCAAATGAACGAATGAACGTATCGCCCAGGGCCACCTTTACATCTCTCTGACGAAACTGGTCGCTTGAAATTTTTCACTCACGAAATTTTCGCTTTTTTTTCTGGGCGGTTTTTTTCTTTTTTTTCATTTCTCACTTCATTTCTTTTTCTTATCATGATTTCTTTGTTCTCTCTTGATGTTACAGGTTTGAGAGCCTCCAACCAGACATCACAAGTTCAAAACTCCTAATTAATTCAATTAAATAACAAAAACAGTAATAAAATCACAAAAGCTGCGACTTTTACCTACTTTTTTTGGCATACCATTGTCTGAATCTATAAAATGTGATAATTACCCGCAAGAATATTCACCTCCTCTTGTATAGCCAGTGAAATTTTTCTTTCAATATAATTTTTTGTGACTTATTTTGATTGCTAAATGTGTTCATGATGCTAATTATTCATCAAATTTATATGCAATTTAGTTGTTGTACATTTTAATATACACGAATTTTGAATTTGAATATATTTCTTGAATTTCGGACGAAAACTGACTCTTGCTCTTCTTGATTATTCGTAGGTACTTCCGGAAAAAAAAAAAAAAAAAAAAAAAAAAAAAAAAAAAAAAAAAAAAAAA